ACCATGCGTGTCAAAAAGACGTACTTGAATAAGGTACGTGTGTCGCGTGTAATTCTTATGCACATGCATCGAACGTGGCGTGCATTTTAACGAACGTGTTTTCACAATTTAGATGCTAACAGAGGACACTGCGCGAAGCATAGGAATGTCCTCGTATTTCCCGCACGTGCGCCGCGTGTTCGTGGACATTCTGCGCGCGTTAGACGTTCACTACGGCAGACCGCTCATGATGACCAGCACTCAGAATATGAACAAGGAGCCGGACGAGATGATCACCGGGGAGCGCAAGCCCCGAATAGACCTCTTCCGGACCTGCGTCGCCGCCGTTCCGCGACTGATTCCCGATGGAATGACCGGTGCGGAATTGGTCGACTTGCTGGCGCGTTTGACGGTGCACATGGACGAGGAACTGCGCGCGCTGGCGTATCAAAGCCTGCAGACCCTGGTGTTAGATTTTCCCGACTGGCGGCAGGACGTCGTGCTTGGGTTCACGCAGTTCCTGGCCAGGGACGTGCAAGACACGTTTCCGCAGCTTATCGATAACGGCCTGAGGATGCTGCTGCAATTGCTGACCAGCTGGAAGAACGCCCTGACGAGTCCCAGCATAAGATCTAAGGAACAATCGGTGGATACCACACGGGTCAATATACGAGTGGACGTTGGCATCAAGAAATGCGAGACTGGCCAGGTTTGCATTAATTTTACTAATTATTTTGGAATTTGGTGGGCAACGCAAGGAGTGCGATGTAAAATTTTATTTTCTGTTTGCAGAAAGTAGAACCTGTGTCGAACATATTCTATCTGGTGGAAGGATTCGCTCTGGTTATGCTCTGCAATTGTCGCCTTTATCCTCGACGATTGGCTGTTCATATACTTCGGGAGGTTAAGCTTTTACTGAAGACTCTGGGTATGTATTATATATTTGCGCGTATTACACACGCAATGCATCACAATGTATATCTTATGAACGTCATCTTTTCAGGAGCTCCCGAAGATGATCAACCAGTTATTGATGTGATCGATGCTTGCTGTCCGGCTGTCTTGGAGAAATGTTACCCAATGTTACCGCCGGCTGAGAAAGCAGCCGCCGCGTCTACGTCTAACGTGGATTTGCAATGGATAGCCGATAGAAGTAGTTGTGTTTGGACAGCTGGTAGTACTTTATTTATCACACCGTTTGATAAATCATTATCAATTCGTTAGCGTTATATTCACCTGTAATTATTTTATGTCGCAGGATTTCACGATGAAAACAGTACCAAGAGTTCTTCCTCGCTTAATCTGAACGGGGCCGATCCGTGGGCCAGTTGTCTATTTGCCTTTCTGGAAAAGGACAGAGTACTTACGCTTTGTCCGAACGCCGTCGCTCATTCCTGGCCAATTGTCTTCACGCGCGTAAACTCTCTGTTCTCAGTAGTGGATCCCACGTAAGATTGAGTCTCTGTAACCAATTTGCATATTGGTTACATTTAAGAGCTTTGAAGTAATTAATGATTCTACATTTATAACAGGCCGGTAAATGACAATCGAGCCTCGTTGCTGCGAAGCTCGACGACGGTGAGAAAACCGGTGAACGAGAGGGACGTCTATATGCACATTTGGAAAAATTACCTGACCTTTGGATACAGAGTTGTGCCACCAGTGCCGAATCCAGTTGTCCGATGCGCCAGTCCGGATCTCAGTCTCAGGTAAGTTGGTCACGTGAAAATTTACAGCGGGAATTCAATTATTATATTGTATCATCCAATTATATATTATTTAAATTTTTCGATAGTTTTAGACTCTTAATACAATATTCATGCTTATTACGTATCACTCGAAAAAGTTACGTATAATCGTGTGCATCGCTACGCTCGTTGTGGATGAAATTGAAAGAGCTTACATTGAAGGAACGATAAATTAATTGCCTCATTTAAGCGTCCACTTCGAGAGAATGTATGCACATGATTTACGTTCATATTGATTACGTTTAATTTGATAGTATTTCGAGTAAATATGAAACTTTGTATAACTAAAAGCTCACATGTTTAGCACAGAATAATAATATATTAGAGCTTTAAGTGTCTATATGAAAAGTGAGTCACGGAATAAGATCAATAATCAACTTGGTATTGATTGGTGTTGGGCTACATGTTTGTTAGTGTTCATTATTATCGCACAGAAAGTGTTTTTTGCCTCACCTGTCTCGTGAAATGTCAATTTCATTAGCGGCTCGTTAAATATTTTACAGTAAAGTTGTTCACTTCGAGCGTTAATTCTATACACAGGCACAGAGTTATTGATCTAAAATTTTATAATGTTTCACACGTTGAACACGAGAATATCTAATATTACATGTACTCACACGATATATTTCCCTATTCCGATGTTGCGCACATCCAGCAATGGCAATTCTTTCGTCGTGACAGACTGGCACCAATTCATACCAAAAAATTCGCGCTTTGCAATTCCGGGAGCGGAATCCACTCTCGTCCTTTCTTCCACGCATACACACACCTCGCTTTATTTTCCGCAACACACTACATCTCTCGCATGCTGTACTCCTATCTCGTACTTGTGTCTCTCGTACATCTTCTCCTGTCTTTCTCTCTTGGATATTAGAGTAGTAGTCTCTGAGCAGTAAATAATGTCTGATACAAGGAAGCATTGGTGGTACACTGTATTGCATACTCTAGTGGTCAGCATACGGTGGAGTTTGGTGTGTTGTGCATGAGTAAGGAGTTGAGTCAGAGCCTGGAGAATCTCGGCGGGGCGCAGACCCTGCCGGGTCGGTTCTCTGTACCGTCCATTTCCGGCATCTACACCCGGCACAAGCGTACCAGGTGAGCCTGAGAGATTAACAAAAACGCGCGAACAAAAAAGCGACCACGCTTTCTTCGATGTCACCCCCCCGGGATTTAAACGGTCGTTGGTAATTCGCACCTTTGTTATCGCCTCTCGTTACTTATCGAATCATTCGTTCTCTTCTTACTCTCTTAACGCAGCACAGAGTTTGATATCCCCTCCCCCCTCTCTCTCTCTCTCTCTCTTTTCACTGAACTGTCAGCTTTCTCGAATTTCTTTCGTCGCCCTAACAAGTTCTTTTTTCGCGCGTACTTTGCGTATATACCATCCCTTGCCTAGCCTCACGACCGTTCCCGAATCGCCTCTTTTTCCGGAGATTTAAACTGCGACCGGATATTCTAGAGCGCCAAATTTTATTAATTTATGAGCTTCAGTATCCGCGAGGGGAAAAGTAGTGAAATTTCAACAGTCTCGTTTCCACAGTTCCTCGCCCGATAGTTTATCCGCGGAACGCGGCGACAACAAATCACCGGGCACGAACGCGAGCCCCGCGGCCTTGTACAAGCTGACCGTACCTCTGCTGAGATGCGAGGCCGTCGACGTAAGGGATGCCGCGGTGCAGGCGATTGGCAAAGTAAACGCCGATGCTCTAAAGTAAGTGTCATTATCATCTGATCTGAAGAAAACGACGAGAGATGGATAAATTACAAAGAGATTCTTTCTTTATACAGAGACTTGATGGAGGAGCTGGTACCTTACATCCGGGAAGCGGTCGATCGGAAACAGGAGAACATGAGACGGCGAAGGAAACGCGACGCTTTGAGGCTGCAGCTAGTAAGAGTGCTGGAATTGATCGCCGAGTACGGAACGTTTGGTATCTGGTTAGTTGACACATTATTTTGCATCTTTCTCCTCCTCATTTTCTAGCTCAAACGAACTGGATTTTTAAAGAATCATCTTTCTTCAGTTCAGCGGTATTAGATCGCGAGACGCAGTCTTTACACCCGACATTCGTCGAGTACATAGACGGTGCGCGAATTTACTTGGAAAACGAGACCGACAAGGAGGCACCCGCCGTACGAGATATCAAGTTACACTTCTGCAACTTTATCCGAAAGATGATCAAAAGTTTTTCACGTAAGCGATTTTTTTTCAGATATTTCCGAAATCGAAAAATATGTATATGTATAACGCCTTAAGAAATTTATTATTAATTATCTTTTTTCTTACTTTTTTTTAGTGGAGATATGCTATACGTTGTTAAAGAGGGATTTAAGAAGAAATCTATTCATGCTCTTCGCTAGTTGGGCTGGTGTTTACGGCAGGCCGCTAACGAGCACGTTGTCCATGCAAGAGGAGGAGAAGTCTTGCACGGAATTGCAACTCTCGGCGTTGCAAGCTATGAGCGGATTGCTCTGCTGTGGTTCGTGCTTCAACCCGCAGTCGCTCTCGGAAGAGGGTGCGATTTTGTATCAATGGCTGGACTTGTTACTGGCCAGTAAAAACGAAAAGGTAAATTTTACAAATTGTCTCGTGTAAAATTGTAAACGCGCGTGCTTTGTGAGCATTATAAATATTACATGCGAAACTGTGGTTAATAATCCATTGTACGTTGGATACGTTAAATGTTACGGTATTTTATTTTATACATTCTATCTGTATCATATCTCATATTTCAGATTTACACGCTTGCACGCGAAACCGTTGTGTTGCTGCTCGAAGGAAATCCCGATATTGGTACGCTTTTGGATTGGGTGGTGGATCGATGTTACACCGGTGCACCGCAAGTGGCCGACGGCTGTTTTCTCGCATTGGCGACGATTTTCAGCGCCAGGTACGCAGATGTCAAAAAAGATGTAGAAAAAAATATTTCCGAAAACGTTTATTAGGAGTAGTAGAAGAAAATACGATATGTACATATAACGAGTAAAGGCAATACGAGACACATAGGCTTCTCGATAGAGTCGCAGATATAAGTCGTGTTAGAATAACAAAGCTAACAAACAGTACGACAATCGCGAGTACGTTTATAATTTTTTTTCTCAGAGAGTATCCTTGCGACCATTACACGAGTGTGATCAACGTGACGTTAATGAATACGGGATGTCCCCGCGCTCCGGTCCACGACGCGGCGCTTCAGCTCCTTCAGCTGTTGGATCAACGCTTCTTCGGAAACGTAGGCCCGCTTCCAGCTACGGAACTCGAAGCTGGTAAGCTTTAAAATCAATGTCTTTGTCCTTGTGCACTGTAATACTGTGTCTCGATACGTTACATATTCTTCTCTGATTGTCTCCATCTAACACGCATTTATTTCGGTTATTTGAAAGAAACTGATGTTTCAACATATCATAATCCTTTATTGACTGAGAGCTTTTGCGTTTCCTGAGAGTTTTTCCGTTGTGCATTCTCGGCAAAGTGCGACCGCTTTGTCGAGCTATACTTGCGCGTGAATTCTGAAACTGTAAAGGAACGCAAGATTTTATCAAGTTGATCGAACTTGATCGTATTTTTTTTGTTTATTAATTTAAATCAGGATATATAAAGACACACGAATTTTTCAATCAACGCAACATTATCCGCACACATATTTTGTCATTATGTTATCTTATTATAATTAGCTAATGAAGTGCCTACCACACTGTTTTCCATGACTCGCCATCTGCATGAGAGTTCCACTTCTCGTAGTACTTGAACGCTTCGTACACATGTGAAACATCTCTCTGCGAAAATTCTGCCCGCTCGCGCAGTAAAGAATGAAGTTTATTCCGAAACTCGTGTTGAATAATAATTGGCCCATTTGTTGCGCCAAAATTAGCCATATCATCGGTTTATCCTGCATTTACATATATAATTATTAACATTATATATTATGTAATTTGTAATTTTTTTATCAGTCTGGATATAAATATCACGAACGTTTAAAATATTAATATGGGAAATATAAACTACGGTATGTAGCCTTTTTAAATCATGCAAACATCTAATTTTATAAAAATACACAGTGCGAGTGTTAAATTAGATTTGATTAAACATCGAAAATTATTTGAAAAATATGTAGATTTCAAAAAAGATTTAATTACTTTTATTATCTCGAATTTACTTTTTGGAGCAAAAGCTCTGCATTTAACTTCAGTATTAAATATCGATACGTACGTAGAGGTACGCGTAGAGGTAAGCGAGCACCCTAAGGACGAATGCAGGCATATTGAGGCAGAAGAACGCGCTCGAAACGACCAGAAGCATTTTCGTGACTTTAGTCTGTGGCATTCTGTCCCGTGGAGTATGAATTCTCTCGTTGGAAACGTCGGATTCTATGGTCAAAGTTCTTCGGACATGATCGAGCTTGTAGACGTTGCGCGCTATCAGCGTATTGAAGATCACTATCGTGGTCAGGGGCACGGCGAATGTCATGACGATATCTAAGGTGTTGTAGGCGATCGCCCAGGACATCCAGTCCTTGTCGATGTGACCGCAGATGGTCGAGTTCTTGTCGAGTTTGGAGAACAGGAGCACCGGGCTGCTCAGCAGAATCGCTAATACCGTTAATCCCATCACCGTCATTTTCGCCCGGGCTACCGTGCACAAAAATTGGCGACGTAGCGGCCACCTGACTGCTATGTACCGCTCGACGGTGAAGGACACCACGAACCACACGCTAAGGAAGCTACAGAGAGTCGCGAAATAGATAAAAAACTGGCAGAAGCCCTGCCGATTGAATAGATCCACGTACACCATTTTTAGCCAGGACACGAAGACCACCATTAGGAAGCCGCTGTCGCTTATCGCCAGCGCTCCCAAGTAAATGCTGGACGAGGAATAACGTAGCTTCGTGCCGAAGAACACGCAAACGGACAAACAGTTGCCCAGCAGGCCCAGAAGCACGAGAATCGGCGAGTAATATCGCTGGATGTCCTGCAAGAGAACGTCGATTTCGCGATAGAGTTCGTTTACCGTCGTGCTATTGTTTTCAGTCATCTTCGCGTGGTGATCTCAAACCATCAAGTCAGTCAAGTCGTGAATGAGAAGAAAAGCGGAAGGCGGTACAGCCACGCCGAGCGTAGATAGCATAACAACTTGCGTCATGCACGATGACCTGGAAGAGTATTAATGTGTCTTACATAGAAGAAGAGGGACAGAGAGAAAGAGAGACGGTATTTTAAGCGTCGCGCGTTTCCTCTGGATTATCGACATGAGGATTGAATTTAGAAACAACAAAATATCAACGGTGATCGCTTGATGTTCGGAGAACCGAACATCTAGGTATGAAGTTATTTAAATTTGATTTTTTTCAGCGAATTAAGAAAACTTAAACTTTTCACATCTGAAGATCACAAGATTTTTATTTCTTTAACGTTAAGCACTTCTAATTTAACTACCTTTAAATGGATTTTAGTAGAATTGATTTATGTTGCAGTTGCGTCGATGTGACGTGACAAGACACAGTGATAGCTTCCCTTCTCGTTATTTTATTGTCACTTGATGTAGTACAATCACTTTGCATTCTTATCGCGTATCACGAGATGCAGTCTCTGCGTTTACTGAACAAAAAAATTTAACGGGAATGCTTGGCGTTTATCGCGCGCAGGAAATCCTTCGCGCAACAGATACGTTAACGAATTATTGCGCAACTTATTGGTTCAGATTATGTTACGCGAGCGTGTCATATTTCACATTGCTTAAAATTGCATTGTCTTATTGAAACAAAATATAAATTCGGTAGTTGTCGAACTACTCACGTTGCGTTCTCGTTTATTTTATTTTAAAATTAAAAAATTATCTTACAATGTGATAACTGCATAGAAAAAAATTTTATCTCTTCCGCTATTACGAAAAATCCGATACAGTTTGCAATCTCGGCGAATGCTTTTTTTCGTAAACGTAATAATAACAATCATTCTCTATACGTAAATAATTATCGTACATGTGATCGCAAGAGAGTTTTGTTGATATAATATTTCGTATCTTTAGTAATGACGGAATTTCATATTTACACTTCTGAACGTACACGTTAGAAACTGTTGCTCAAACAGCTTTATGTTTCTCTCTGGTTCACATGTTACTCTCGACCAAGTCGATGTTTTTTATAATTTATGACTATTGAATTATTAAATGGGAAACGTCAAAGTGAAAGTTGATCAAAGGGATGTAAATTTACAAAAATAAAATATTGCTTTAATGTGATATAACATTTTTTTTCAAATTTCTGTATAAATAAAAAAGAAAAATCTTTTTGTAAAAAAAGTTAAAATACTCTCTTTGTCATGTAGAAATAATAGAATTAAAATAATTAAAAGATACTATGATAACTATATTTATTATTAAACATTTTTAAGAAGAGGAAAAATATTTTTATATCTAGCCTTCTCGTAGATTTTATGTTTTTTTATAAACATGACGGTAAATGGTTTTTAGTTTTTTTATATTTTAATTATAATTTTAAAAGAACTCGGCAAACAGGATTCTTGAATATCAATTAATGCATACCTGTTTATTCAATTTCGACGCAACATATTAAACATATGAAATGTGCAGACGCAAGTCATTTATTGGACTGCCGTTTAGATTTCTATATAGGTATGATTTTGTGACACGGTGCCGAGCTCCTTTTAACTGCGGTCTTCCAAACACTCACATACTTTAATTTGCATACATCTCACACATAAACGTTCTTAACGTTTTGCAAATAGTACATGGCAAGTGTTTCCAACACTTTTAGTTGGCACGATATGTGCAGTGCCGGTGCGAGGTACAATGCATAATCCTTTCGTCAGGCGCTCGTTGATATTGTTTAATGAGTTTCTCGTTTAAGACTGTCGCACGACACTTTAATTTAATAGCGCGATTTGTCAACAAACGTAGATTAATTATGTCTCATTAGATCCGGCACATCTGTATCAATTACATTAACAGCGGCAACATGTTTCGCCTTTTTTTAAATTTATTTTTTATTTTTTTTTTTACTTTGGAGGTGAAGCAACAAGTTACGAGTGTACTTGATGATGAGAATAATTTAGATTTAGTACTTGATGAGCACTTATTTTTTAAAACACTAATGTAACAACACTTTCGGACAATATATTCGAGTGCCGTCTCAGCTATTTCTGCTGGGTGCCCCGACGCATCCATTCCTGATAAAGCTCGATGCATCCAGTATTCCGGCTTCTGCGCATCGAAGTAATGTACAAATTCCCGCCTCTTCACGGCGCACGTCAATTTGCCGCAAGGGAGAGAAATTCATGTTTTCGCGATTCACCCGTTTACACATTATAATTGTTTTTTTTATATTCCTATGGATTACAAGAACAATATCAATATTTGTATAATATACATTATTTTATATTATATATAAATATTTATACTTATTTGCTGCAACAATGGACTCAAAAATCGTAATTTTTTAGTCGTCTGCAAGAAAAAAAGAGAATTCTGATCTTCTGAAGAATTGTATAAAGAGCTAATAATATTTTCGTTTTTTTACAATCACTAGAAACTGTAATACCAAAATCGCATTTAAAATAATATTACAAACTTTTAATGATTTAAAACATTCAAATTGAAATTTTTTTTTTAGTTATGTCGTAGCAAATGACCGACATATAAAATATATTTTACTAAAAATTTGTTATTCACAATAATTTTTTCATTGAGAGTATGAAAATAGCACATGAATTTTTAACATCGTACATTAATGCAAACTATAATTATTGATATTCGATGTAAATTGATTATAATTATTACGTTGTAATTACATTATAAATAATTATGATCTTATTACTGGAGCTTTTAAATTTTAATAAAATTGAAAAAATTGAATTTGTTCTGTTATACTACCATATCGTATTTGAATTCTTTGAACCGAAATCAAAGAATATGAATTGAACTTTTCTTATAAGAGAAGAATTACACATACGTTATGTGCTCTTTGACATATCGTGTATTACAATCTGTTTCAGAAGCATGTGTCCAAAAAAGAAATAAGTTTTTATGAAATGCAAAGGAATTGTAGCATGATGAAATTTGTTCTTTCTGCAGAGAAAATATTAATTTGTCGGAGGAAAAAATACATAATAGATATTTTACAAATAAAAACTATATTTTAAATATAATTTATAAAATATATTTTTTTCTGCAAAATGTATTTTCTCTTATGATCAATATTATTATTATTATTATGACACCAGGGAGTTATGCAATGTAAATGTTTGGTAAATGTCAAATTATATTGATTTGGTAATTACGATGTATTTTCATGGGTGATTAATTATTTATTATTGAAAATAATAACTGACTTTAAAGCGTTCCACATACACATAAATATTATCAGTACGATAATAATAACTAAGCCAGCATTTATAGGCAGACATTTATTACGCTATTTTGTGCTTTAATATTTCCTTTACAGTTTGTTAATTATAAACAGCTTTTATTCATAAAAGCTGTTTATATCTTTTATCGACTATAGATTTTTTAGATGAATCCATTCTTTCTTAATGAAAATTAATTAGAAATTTATTGATTAAAAAAACATCTTTCTGCATAATTTTTTGACATTGAATATCATATCATAAATTGATTATTAAAAATAAACGCTAGATACAGATAAATAGAACTTTCTTTTATGAAGTGTAGCGAAATTTTAACTAGGTGTAAATCTTCATTCTATAATGAAATTTTAGATCAATCTTAGACAATTAATGAGATGTTTAATTTCCTTATTATTCTAATAATGTAATTTATGTAATTCGGTAACTCTGTCTATCCTCTAATTTCCCATTGCAGGACATAACGATCCTCTCGCAAGCTCCGCCGCCACCGTCACTTCCGGGCCGGGTCAACAAAGTAATCCCGCAGGTGAGATTTCTTCCGGCGGCACGATTAGAGGTGGCACACTGGACGTCCTCCTGTCAACTACTTATTGTCGCAGCCAAATGTACCTTTCACGTCAATTGGCTCAATTACATCCGGAACTTACGATGCCGATGTTCAGCGGTAAATAGAGATCTTCTTATCGTTTTAATTAACACTTTCAAGAGCTGAGAAGTCTCGATTATCGAGAGATTTTCAAAAGAATTATTGCGCTTCCAATTTTAAATCTTAAACAATTCTTCTAGTGTAACATGTGATTTATTATGAAACCGTATTTTGCAATTATTCTATATGACTATAATATTGTGGCATTTGATATTTCGATTTTATTATTACAATATTGATGTAAATTAATTCGAGGAAGGAGGGAGTGTATGATAAAGCACAATTAACAACTTTCGTAGTCCGTTACATGCTTCAATTGTGGAGAGCATTTAGAATGATTTCCTCGCAATTGAAACTTTGTAATTAAAAGGTCGCAATATGATCTAATTACTTTCATATAATATATACGACATATATATGTTTTCGTACTACAATTTAATACGGAAAAACGGACGCAAACAATATAGAATATAATTATAAGTTATTAAAAATGTGACATGCATGAAAATTGCAATTTTTCTTCCCGAAGCGCATGCTATTTCTATGAAAAGTAGCATGTTTATAATATACTCATACTTTGAGAACTATTAGAATTTACGTTTAATAAAGTACTTACCCGAGAAGAGCATCTCTTTTACAAATAGTAATTTGAAAATTCTTTTCTTAATACATGAATTTATTTGTTTCTCTCAATGACGTCAGTAAATTCTAAAAAAAGGCATTAAATCGATAGTCGAAATGCATCGGTCTTCTCGAAGTTTATTATTAGCTCTTTTCTGCGACGATTGATGATTGATTCTCTCGCTGCGCTAACGTTGTGGGCGGCTGTCACTATATATTTTGACATTTGTGTATAACAGCAAATTACAGATAAAAGATAAAGGATAAAAGAAAGAAAAGATGTTAAATAGCGCGCGTGAAGCGCGTGTCTGTAATGCTAATACACAAAACATTTTCATGCATTTTTAATAATGATTATGTTAATTAAACTGAAGTTGTCTTTTCCACGTGATTTATAAATTTACATATAGAATGCTCGTTCGCAAAAAAAAAATTGTTGTCTTCTTCTCAAGCTTGGCTGTATGGAACGCGCATTTTATTAAGTTTCTATATTAGTTTTACGTTGTAAATAAATATGGTGGAGTTACATTAAAGAGAGGAAAGGAAATATTGCAAAGGTATCGCTTTATTTTTATTACTCAGAAACGTGTAATCTGTGCCTGCATGGTCACAGAGTGTCGGTGGAATTTAACAGAATTATCGTCAATATTCGTATAAATAATCCAACACTGCAGTGATATAATTCTGGAGGGAACGGTAACTGTCAACAACAATCCGCGTTATTATCAATTATACGCCAGGCGTGTCGCTATCGTGTAAATATTACCGCGCGTCTGTTTTAACAAATCGGACAGGCTTTCATTATTATAATTTAATTTCAAATCATTAACAGAAAAGTCGAGCGACAAATAATCGAGCTTCTTTGCTAGTGGGATTGATCACACATGTACTTTCACATCTACTCGAACACGTTTTAATGTATTTTCACATCCACTCGAATGGCGTTTTAAGTATAGAAACATTAATTATCAGTATGACTCAAACGCAGAAATTCTCACGTGTATTGCGATAGAAAAATAATAATTTGCGATGCTAACTTTCATCAAAGGAAAGTACTTTTCTTGTCTCAGCTGCATTTAGCGGTTTACGATTGAAGTGCTCGTTGAAGCAGAACGATTTAATTAAACTTCTTAAGAGAATTTGAGTGGAAAACTTGCGGATGTGAAATAAAAGTTAATTCTTAAAGCTTTAATATAAATTTGTAATAAAAATTGAAGATTTGAAATGTTCTTATGTTCTAAACGTTGTTGTTCGCAGAATTTGAACTTTTTAATCAAACTTGGGAATAAAGTAGATTGATGGAAGGCTGACCGTGATCTATTTGCTTAAGAATTTAACCTTTTAACTACGATCGCTGCTGTTAATGAGCCGCAAGACGCATAAAGTTTCGTTTACATAATAGATTGCTGCCCTCCGTTTTAATTTCGTGACGCATGCCTGACTTACTGTCAGTGTCACGGGCCACGTTAAAGGGGCGAGGGTTTAAAAAGAGCGAAGGACCGACGAGAGAAAAATTTAACGATGAAAAATAATTCCATTGCGCGAATTACTATCTTGCACGTTTCCGGCTAACCGGCTTATATCCGTTCGCTTTGACGTTCGAAACGGCGAGCACTTTGCTTTCGAGAACAATGTAACGTAAAACTGCAATTTTATCTCACGAAGTTCTCTATGCGTGATCGCACAATAGTAGTCTGAAGAAGAAGAAATAAAAAATTTTGTTTTTAAAAAACTTGTTTCAAAGTGCAAGTAGAATATAATAATTATATTCTAGATATTATTAGAGAAAATTTGATACGCAGTTTGATTTGAATATTCTTTTCATGTTTTAAAACGTTTTTTATAAACTAAATTTCCTAGAATTTACAGAGTTTTACATTTTCCAAAAATATTAAAAGTCATTATCAGTTTTTTATTTAAGAAATGAAGAGATTATTTTAGTCGATAAAATAATCTCTTTTAAATTAATTTAAATAGTTTTTTCTATATATATATAGAAAAAACTTTATTTTATATATATATATATATATATACATAAAATTTTAATATATTAATTTATAAAATAAAATATCTTTAATTATGGCCAAACATAAAATGGCTGTTTATGTTAATTAATATATGTAAAAATAAAATAAATATATTAAAATTATATATATATATATATATATATGCATACATACATATATAAAATGAATAGTTTTGTCGGTATCAAATTTGTTTAAAATATGGATGATGAAAGCTAATATTATTAGCTAATATTAAAGTTCATCCGCTTACAACAGATTGAAATTTCTATAGAGATATACAAGTTAACGGGTAGATTTACCAGATTGTGGTAAATCTCTTGATTTAATTCAGTATTTAGTTCAGTGTACCGTATTTATATGAAAGATTTTAGTGGCGTTAACTGATCAAACTGGCCATCTTACGTATTTTGCATATCAAGAATGCAATCATGTAACGCAAGAAAATTATAAAGGAGGATAAGATATTTTATGATAATTGTTTAATACGTTGATATCCTTGAAATGCAGATGGAAATATTTAAACTCGATGCGTAGCCGAAACAAATGCAGATGATTGCAAGTGATAATAATGCCACGTAATTTCACATGTGCACACACACACACACACACACACACACACATACACTTAGCAAATCATTCAAAATTTTATTTGCGCGCGTTGATGAGAATATTGAATGCCCTTTCGTC